TGCAGCTTGGAGGGGCAGCTGGCAGGTTGGATGGAGGGGGGCGGGGCGGGCACCCCACAGCCTCCCTGGGCCCCCCCTGCCCGTGCCTCCATTCCTGGCTCCCCTCCCCTCGCAGCTGCAGAGGAGACAGCCGTCAGCCCCAGGAAGAGCCCTCGGCCAGGGGGGCCTCAGCAGTTCCTACCAGGTGAGGCCTCTCACCGGGGCCTGGGGCGGGGCTGTGCTCATTCCTCTGTGACTCGGTTTCCCTGTCTGCGTGGAGAGGGGGTGGCGGCCCCGGGGTCCCACTGCATTCAGGCCCCTCCATCCTGCTTTCCCCAGACCCAGAGTCTCAGAGAGGCTGCCCCGGACCTGGGGTCAGGAAGCGGTGCCCCGGGGAGTCGCTCATCAACCCCGGCTTCAAAAGGTGACGCCCGCTGCCCCTCCCTCTCGTGCCCAGGGCCCAGCCCTTCCCTCTGCACCCCCTAATGTCACCCCCTCCGCTCTCCCAGTAAGAAACCAGCCAGTGGTGTCGATTTTGATGACCTCTGACCCTGCCGCGGAGAGTGGGGTCCCGCCAGGAGTTGGCCGTGAGAAGAGGGGCAGCTTCCGAGGCCCCCGCCACCGCCACCTCCACCGCAGGCGCAAGCCCCTCCCCCACCCAATAAACGCTGGTCTCGCGAGGCTCTGTCTCTTGGGGGCTGGGAGAGAGGGACCAGCATTCCCCCCACTCCTGGCTGCCACCTGGGTGTGGGCGCAGGCGGCAAACAGATGTGTCAGGCTCTCCGTCCCCATTGGCGGAGCTGCCAACCTCTCCAACCGGCCCAGCCGCCACGGCCCAGCCAGCCCAGGAGCTGAGGGCCATGCAGGGCTGGGCCCAGGCTCCCCAGGCCTGGAACTCCGTCACCCCCTGGGGCACACCCCTCCTCCCCCACCCAGCAGGGCACGGCCTGAGGACCCCATACCATGCACACAGGTCCTGCGAGGGGGGGGGTGGCCTGCTGCCTGGGGTGGGGCTGAGGAATGTGGG